CATGACTCTTGCCGCACTTGCCACAAGTGCGGCCCCTCTGGCTCCCTGATCTCGAATCGGCAGGCTTGGCCCGCTTGGCTGCCGGCTGAGACTGTGTCGGTCGCCGATCCCTCCCCTGAGACTCCGCCTCCTCCCTAGCCTGAGTCTCCAGCTCTATCTCCCTCTTCCGGGCATTTTCCTGAAGCTCGGCAAATGTCCGGTACGTCGAGTTCGCCACGAACTCTCGTATATCCCTCCTCAAAATGCTCAGATATCGGCTCATACGTGCCTGCTCGGAGGACACGTGCTCTGGGCAGAACATCGCCCGCTCATGGAACATCCTGGTGATCACTGTAACAGACTTTGTACCCTGCTTGAGGGTCAAAAACTCCTGGGCCAAACGCTCCCTCTCCACCTGGGGAACGTACTCTTCTCGGAACATAGCAGTGAACCTCTCCCAGGTCACTGCAACAAGCTCAGTAGGCGAATAGTGCGCCGTCACAAATTTCCACCAGTCCTTCGCTCCCAAGCGAAGCTGGTTCAACGCGAACCGGACTCTCAAATGCTCTGGAGATGAGCAAGTAAAGAAACACCCCTCAATGTCTGATATCCACCTCATTGCTGCAATCGGGTCCTGGGTCCCATCAAACTCCGGTGGTTTTGTGTTGCTGAACTCACGAAACAGCAACGCATGACCACCCTGCGGCCTAGTCGCAGTTATAGCTGCAGTGGCCGCAGAAACCGCAGCCTCAGAAAGAGCAGCGTATCTCTCGTCAAATGTCTCTATCAGTGTGGTCTTGATAGACCCGAACATCTCTGGTATCTCTGCCCTGATGGCCGCAGCCACCTCCTCATGAATGATCCTACGGATCTCCTCATCACTAGTACCGCTGCTCTCTGGTGTGTGGCGTGTCCCAACCATGATGTCTCTGAAACACAACATAATAAATATCAGGGACTCGCTCGAGTATACTCGCACTCGATAACTCCACCCTACTTGCTCCTTAGTACCCAATGGATTCTTACTTAGGGTGCGCACTGCTCCGGTGTCTTCAGTAGTACGGGCCCTATACTACCGTCCACACCGCATCAGCATCCACTCTAAGTCCTCCTCCTTGGATCCCAAGTCCCAAGTACTCTACTCTCTTTAACCATATGCTACTCACTAGCAGCTCTCTCATAAACTCCTCGCTGCTATCTAAACACTCTCAAGTATCCCTAGCAGCAAAACTCCTAGACTAAGGCATCACATATCAGGCCACTCTAGTCCTAATAAGAATACCTAGTCTACTCTAGCATGCATAGCATAACTTATCATATATCATAACATAATATATCTCATAACACTAATTACAAGGGTATTTTGGGAAATCACCGTTCGGGCGCTGGCTGATCGTACACACGGCTCTGCTCTGTTTGTCTCAAAACTCTTTTTACTCTTTTAAAAAGTTTTTAGTCATCAAAATTTCTCTCAAATCCTCAGTTTGAGTTCAGATACGCCCGAAGATGAATCTGAATCCCTCAAACCAAGGCTTTGATACCAACTTGTAACACCCAAATTTTCAAAACAATTTTTCACATTTAATAAAACACGTTTTCATTCATAATCGTTATAAAAACACCATTGTATCACATAACATCATCTCCCAAGATCATAATAAAATCTCCCCGCGTGTGTACTGATCAAGACGGCGCCTTCCCGCGATCCTCGCTGGTACCTGAGACACATAACACAACACTGTAAGCATAAATGCCTAGTGAGTTCCCCAAAATACCACACATAACACATATTAGCCACTCGAGGCTATAACTCTGTTTGACACTCTGGTCAAAGTGTCTCTGTGGGACCCCCCCAGTCCCATAACTCTGTGGGCCCTCTGGCCCTAACTCTATGGGTCCTCTGACCCTAACTCTGTGGACCTTCCGGTCCTAACTCTGAAAACTCTGTAACATACATAGCATATAACACATAGAAATCACATCATGCAAAAGCATACACAATACTCTGTCTCATAGCTCTAATTATCACTCTAGGTAAAGTATAGTGAGAAGACTCACCTCGGTTAACTCGGTAAAGCTCGAACTCTGTAAAGTCGGGTCTAGCCTCCGCCTAATCATATGAAATAAACACTCTGAATCAATACATCTCTCAAGGCTAGACTATTCCTCCTCTTAGTACTTTCAGAAGGGTAAAAGACCATTTTACCCCTCTCATGGCTCAAAGACCCTAAAGTTGACCAAACCCTAAAAGTCAATAAAGGTCAACGATCAAACTTTGACCCGACTCGCCGAGTGCACTTGGGCGACTCGGCGAGTCTACACGTGCCCACTATCTTTCTGATCTCGCATGACACGTCGAGTCTTTCCCCTTACTCGACGGGTGACACCTGGCATGAATCGCGGGGCCACCCCGACTCAACTCGCCGAGTCTGTTCATGGACTCGGCGAGTTCCGCCTTGAACTCCAGTCCTCTAATTCCCTCCGACTCACTGAGTTAACCCTATGCTCCACGAGTCGTCACAGATTTCGAGTCGCGGGGCTACCCGACTCTACTCGTCGAGTCCGTTCATGGACTCGGCGAGTTCATTCCATGCACATCCTCAAACAACTTCCTGAGGTTAGATCCAGTCCTCTAACCAATAGATCTATCATTCCCAAACCCAATAACCACGTAAAGTTTCCATCTTGATGCACATACAACATCTATTTGATCATATATGATGATTTAGCCCCAAATACCATAACTCAAGGTCATAGCCTCCATTGTTATTCAAAAAGCTTAATGAATAAGGCTCTCTGGACCTCTATGGTTCCAGATCCAAAGCCTCCTCATCATAAGGAACTATTTGGGCTTCAAATCTAAGCAACAAAGGGTCTAAGAAACCCTAAATCCATATGATCATCATAAGAACAGAAGGGGAGTCGAATTACTACCTCAAATGTGAAGATCTTAGCTCCAAATCCACAGAATAACAATCTCCTATGCTTCCTCTTGGCTAGTACCTCCTTCTTCTTGCTAACAACACTCCCAAGGTAAAAAAAAATGGCTTCCTTCCTCTCCCAAAACGCTCAAGCACTCTAGGGTTTCTCTCTATGACTGGTGACCTCAAATGGCGGCCATAAGGCCCTTTAAATAGTCCCCAAACCCGAGAAATTAGGGTTTCATTAAACAGCGTGGACTCGTCGAGTCCACGTATGGACTCGCCGAGTCCAGTCATTAACCCGGATGGAGATTCGCGACTCTACTCGGCGAGTCTGAGCGCCTACTCGCCGAGTCTCTCTCCAAAACTCAATAAAATACATAATTTAAGATACCTGGGAATCCGGATGTTACAAAATGAGAACACCAAAAAGGTTGAGAACGCTAGAACACTTCTGGACCAATCATATTATAAGGGTATATTAGTCATTGTGTATTTATTTTAAATTAAAACAAATTAAATTCAAATCTTAATTTCCTAAAATTTAGCGATAATGATTATCTACCTAAAATAAAATATGAACTGATTTTTTTATTTCTTTTATTATGGATGATAAAGATAATTTATATTTTTTTTTGTCAAATAAAATTCCTTTTTTTCTAATTTATTATTCATCAAAATATTTTCAATCATATATGAATAAAACATTTGTAATTATAAAAATATATATTTGTAATCCTAAATAATAAATCATAATTTAGAGATAACATTTATAAATGAATAAAAATAAACTACTAATCATGAATATGCTAACAAATAAAAAAAATCAACACATTAAAATTTATATTCATAAAATAAAATTTTCAAAGATTGAGTTTATACAATTATCTATTTATATTCATAAAAGAATATACCAAGACTAGTTTCATACATTTATACATAATTATATTCAACAATGATTAAACCGCTTCAAAGGAATTTTTTTTTTTTTTTTGCAAAATTCATCCCTATATCAGCCATTTTCTTGAATTGGTCACAACCCCTTCTTTCTCTTTGAATCAAATGGCTTGCGAGCTTGTGTAACGAGCAGGAGCAGACACGATATCTAAAAAATTCTAGCATTCCTTCTTCTTTGATTAATATCTACAAAAATGACAATAACATGTAAAGACAATAAAAAGACCAACATAGTATTAACATGAATGATTAGTAGAAAAAAATACGTAGTTATAATCATAAATGATTATTACAGCGTCTTTTAATCATATGTACAACCATATTTATAATCATAAGTGATTATAACGAACACAATTGACGATGACATGTCCGCCATCATCAAAATTGAGAAAATTAGAATGTGATTGAATCATTAAAGCATATGGGAAGGTAGATAATTAGTGTATCAAAAAGTATCAACAAAGTGGCAATAACAAGAAAACTCGACCGAGAGGGCTTACCCTCTTCTAGTTATGATTATTAAAAACTTCATTACCCAAAACATAAAGTCACCAAAGTAAATGTCCACCTGTTTGTCAGAAACATCACAAAAAGGAAGATGTTAATATAACCAATGGCTTGTGTATTAAGTATTAACTATGAAACATAAAGGGTTTGTGACTTGTAACAACTTACTGAGTGTAAAAGAAAAGTACTTCGAGTCCAACAGTTATCAGATTAGCAAGAAGAATTGCTCATGACACCAAATGCAATTAAATCTGTAAATAAGCAGCCAAACAGGATGGATTGATTTCAAAGAGGTCTTCCAAGTTTCATCTTCATACAAGATCCCAATTGGAGAATGAACACAAAATTCAAGCTAATTCCCATGGAGATCCTAATTGTTTTAAGTTGTGATAATTACACCAAATTTGATACAACCATGTTTATAATCATAAGTGATTATAACGAACACAACTGACTATGTTGATTGAATTTATTCACCACTGTAATGAAGGATATCAGATTGCTAGAATTTGACCTACGAACACAGTAGAAGGAAGAATCAAAACTTACCAATTGTTGATTTATAGCTTCAATTTCATATGAAATCCTGTCAAAATTTCCCCCTCTTCTTGCATCGCCAATCACGCACCCCCCTTCATGATTGCAATTACCAATCGTGATTTTTGCAGTCATTCTTCAATCCCTGAATCGGGATTGCAAGTCCTGGGGCTTACGAGAAATCGAGGCGGTCTCTTGGCCTTCGATGGAATTGGCGATGGTGGAAGTCAAAGGGGCAGAGAGTGTGAAGGCTCACCAGCGACGGCAGCAATAGGGCGACAGGAAGGGAAGAAAGGCTCGCATCGAAGGTGTGTTGTCCGATATTCAGGATGTTGTGTCCAATTGCGATCGTCTCCGGGGTTCGAAGAGGTTGAAGAGACATAGGGAAGAGGGGAAGGAAGGGCGTCGATTCTCCGGCGACCCTTATGGCTTAATCGTCGTCATCAGCAGCGCATAAATGGGGGAAGGAGCAAACAACAAAAAATCGACATTTGGGGTGAAATCAGGAAGCATCATCGTTCGATGTGGATGGTTCATTTGTCGAGCAAGGGAAAAGGAAAACGGAAGTAGTTGGGATCGGCTGTGTGATTCGGCTGTGTGATGAAGGTGTCGATTGTATGCTGTATGAAATTAGGTCAATGAAATAGAGAGGCAGGGAGTAATTATAGGAGTTTACAAAATTAGGGTAATGTTTATTTACCTGAATACCCTTTATAATTTTCTTTAATTTTAATTTTAAATTTTAAATGTATTAATAATTAGAAAAATAACAATTAATTATAGCCACACATCTTAAAAATTAGATGATCCAGATCTGTTCTCGCGTTCTCAACCTTTTAGGTGTTCTCATTTGATCCTACTCCTATATATATATATATATATATATATATAATATATATATATATATATATATATTGAATATTTGGCTGTTATGTACTTAAACTTATATATAGAACCTTTTAAACGACGTAGTTTTAAACAAAACAAATCAAATTTCATTTTCTCTTAGTTTGTTTTAATAGAATACCATTGAATTAAGTTCAATTATGGAATGAGAAAGATCAATTATATATATTTTTATTGCAAATAATTATTTAAGTATATAGAGAAAATAAAAAACCAATATTTTTTTAACGAATATAAGTCACGCATTTTGTCTTTCAATTGAAAAACTATATCAAATGATTTTGTGAAAAGCTTGATCGAGTTATGATATGTTCTTCTTTTATATTTTATTCTATTAGTTTACATTTAGAATTTAGTAGGGTTGATTAAATGGTCACGACTTTTAATGCTTTAAGTTCTTAGACACAATGAAGAAAAAGAACATAAATTTTATCGATTTAGTAAGTCACATGATTAAGGAAGAATAGTAAAAGAGATATAATGATTAGTTTTGATATAAATGGTTCAAAACTACATTTTTTGGAGGGTTCTATAAGCTTAGGTACATGACAACCACATATTCCCTAAGTTTGGGTTATATATATATATATATATATATATATATATATATATATATATATATATATATATATATATATATATGACACCAAAGTATGTAACTCTATGTCTAAGTAAAGTGTAATTCTTATTGTATTGGATTTTGAGTATCAAGAAATGTATATTTGTTTACGTAGACATTTCATCTTTTTTTTTTTATTATAAATATTACTTGGTGGCACACATCAAAACTATGCAATTTTAATATTGTAAAAGGATCGAGTTAATGGGTCTGATATTCGTTGATTCTGTGTATAAGGATATGGATTCGATTATTCAAAACCCTGAGGGTTATTGGAGCGGGGCTTTTCATGTTTTTAAAATTTTTAAAGCGTGTGTATCAAGGGTGATTCGCTCCAAACTCACCCCATTGACAGGTCTAGCCACATGTCAAGCCCTTATTTGATGGTGTTTTTTTTCCATTCACTTTGTTTTTTATCATAAATTTTCTTTTTATTTGAAAATAAATCTAAAACGATCAAAGTTCTTAAAATTTAATTCTCTACAACGTAAGCACAATCATAAAAATTTGAAAAAAAAATATTTTTTTAATAAAAAAACCCATAAAAAATCTCCAAAAATCATAAAAAATTTAAGGGATACTTCTACTCAATATACTAGTGACTTTGTAAAAAGATTTTTTCAAAAATAATTCTTTGAAGTATTTATTTGTAATTTTAAGAAATATTAATTTTTAAAAAATATGTTGAACATAATATGATCCAAAATGCAACGAGTCAAAATATTTAGGATTAAAAAAAAACTTTTGTTTCAAATTGTTTATGATTATTAATTTGTTATGATCTAAAATTATTTAGATTCAAACATTTTATAATACTTAATTCTATCTTGTATTATACAAAATTAAATAATTCAAAATATATGATGATGCATAATTTTTTTGAACAAAAGCTTCATTTAATTGAATAAATTATTGATGCAAAATCATATAGTTTAAAATATTATGATTCAAAATAATTTGATTCAAAATTTTATGATAAAAAATAATACGATTAAAAAAAAGTATGAACATAAAATATTACGATCATTAATATTCTTCTTATTTAAAATTTTATAATTGTTAAACTTTATATTAACAATTATAATTGTTAAACTTTAATATTCTTCTATTTTATCTATACAAATTGTACTGAAACTTTAGATTACGTCTTATCGATTATGCATTGATTTTTCAATTCCGTGTTTTTCATCTTCATTAGGATCCTATATTTGGTATCAGAGCTTCATCTTGAAGGTTTAACAACTAAGATCAACGATCCTAGATGACAATATTTTTGTGTGTAATCGGCTCAAAGATTCGAATTTTTTAGTGAATCTTTCCATTGGATTTATTTGCTTTTAATTCTAAATTTATTGATCCAATTATTTTTTATCTAGTCTTAAATTGAATGAAAATTCATGTTGATCAATTTTATTCATTCAAAATCATTCCATTTGTTAATTTGATTTCTTTTCTTTGAGTCCGATTTGAAGCCCATATTTTTTATTTATTTGGCCCAAAACTTATTGTTCGCCACTGGTCATCGATATGTACAAGTTTGAACCCATATTCATTACAAACTAATTTGTCTATACTCTCTATTCAGTTCATATCGTTTTTTGATTTTCAATTGCTTTTCTATGAAGCGATGTTCTCATTTGATTAAATTGTGTGCATCGATCTATTATCAGTATCTATTGTGCGTTAAAATTGTTTGTGCATTCTTGATTTAATCCGGACTGAGTTCGTCTTGTTCAATAATTCTTGATAGTCGACTTTTTGATCGATTTAATCTGATATCGATCTTGATTTTACATACCTTCTGCTCAAATCGATTGAATCAATATTATTAGTTTGATTGAATACGAAATTGATGATTGTTAATGAATGTGATGAATCATGGAATGGAAACAAAGAGTGATTGGGATTTATAATGCAGAACAGTCAAACTAATGGTCAAAATCAATGTTGGTTTGTGTGTCCGATAATCAAAATCATAATTGAAAGTCAAGTTTCGAACACAATCGAATTGAAAGGAATATTACAGTAGATGCGATAGTCAACCGAGAAAGTCAATATTGATGTTGTTGATAAACCGGAAACAAATTTGGAGATTATGTTGATTCACAGCTGATTACAGTTGATTAGGATCGAATCAGTATTGTGGTCGAAACTCTAGCTTCATCATGAGAACCAGAAATTGATTTTGGTTAATTGGTCAGCATACAAGGCTTAATTGTTGATCGCAAGATGAAAATTTTCAAGGGTCAAATATCGAGAGGTCAAAATGGTTGGTTTTCATTACGATTGATTGATTGGTGCTCGATAACGAGTATTTCATGTTAACTGGGAAGTTAGGTTTAAAAGTTAGATGATGAAGTTTGATTATATCCAAGATTAAGAATGATGATTGTGGTTGATTGCTTTGACCGTGAACGAAAGTAACTATGGGTTTGTGTTGAAAAGAGTTATTGATAATCATTTACAAACTTAAACATTAATTTATAGATTATTGGGTAAAAAGTGTATTCTTGTATATTTTTGGGGGTGTGTTGTGAATATTGTGTGCAGGTTGTCGGGTATACACGCGGGTTGCTGGATCATATGCCCGATGGTTAAATGTCCGATGTATATAATGTGTTAGCTGGGTTCATTTGTCATTAGAGTCGATATATGTTTCATCTGTATCATCAGTTCTCTCTCTCAACTTCAGATTAGGGTTTCTGTTTAGGGTTTATTCGTATATCATGTTCTTGTGTAGATTGTGATAGATTAGAAAAATGAGTGGGAGTGATTGTGTAGAGAGTTTTGAGTTGTAATCTGTTGATGTAAACCCATCTGTTTCATAGTGAATGAAATGATGATGTTGGGAAGATTTTGTGTTGATTACGTTTCTTTAGATTAGATGGTATCAGAGCTATGACTCCCTTGTTGTTCTTGTGACACTCGTTGAGTTCTGCTCGTCTCACGATTATTCAAGTAACTTCTGAATCTTGTTTTCCTTCCCTGTTTTTTTGATTTGATTGACACAGTTGTTTGATTAATCTAAGGGTTCTTCTGAACTCCAATTTTTACTTCATAAACTGTGTTCTCTTGGATATTCGATTCGATTTAGGGTTTTCTTCTGTGAATCAAATCGAATATTTGTGTTTGTTTCTAGATCCTGGTACTGCGAGATTGTTTGTGATCTTGCAGGTTTCTGCTGTGGTGGGTTTGTCGATTGCATTACAGTCTCATCGGTTGAAAACCTAATCGATCAATCTCCTAGTCTGAAATAACTCTCTAGGGGTCGGATTTCATCACCGATAAACCCTAGTAGAGAACGGACAAAGAGAGTCGATTCCTTCTTGTCTCGACTTAAAAACTTTGTGATGATCTTCTTGTTCTTTATCTTTTTTCCTTTTATATCTGTTCTGGGAGATCCTGGTGTCTTGTGTACACCAGTTGTTTTCTTGCTATTACATTGTTTTCTGTATTTCCTCTGTGCTGATTGTCTTGGGCCCCAACATACGTGGTGACCATCTGGACATAAGATGAGTACAGGGGCAAGTTTTTTGATTGTTTTTAGTTGTTCTTGATTGTTTTCTTTTGCTTCTTATGGCGGGTGGTTCTACTGATCCACCTGGTAGAAGTGGGAAGGATGATCAGATTAATTTTGATGATCCTCTCTACATTCACCCTTCTGATAATGTTGTTACTTCTATTATTACAACCAAGTTAACTGGTAATGAAAATTTTAGATTATAGAGAAGTTCCATTTCTAGGGCTCTTAAGGCAAAGAAATAAATTAGGATTTATTGATGATATTTTTAAAAAGAGTGATGTTGATGAGTCAAAGAAAACTAAATGGGATAGGGCTAATGATGTTGTTTGTTCTTGG